ATTAGATTTATTAAATAAATTTTTTTAAAAAATATATATATAAATTTATTTATTTATCTTTATATATATTAATTTATTATATTTTTTATTAAATTTTTGATTTTATAATTTATAATTTTAATATTATTTATATTATTTAAAATATTTATAATTATTTTCCTATATAATTTTTATTAAACATTATTTTAATATATATATAATATAATTAATATATAAATATTTTATTAAAAATTTATATTATATAAATTTTTATAACTTATAAAATTTATATAATGCAATTTAAATTTAACTAGAAATTCCAAATATAATTAATAAAATTATTAATCAAAAATTTTTTCTTTATATAGATAATGAAGATAAATATATTAATTTTTTTTTATATTTTTATTTGGTAAAGTACAACTTTTTGCATTATGTTAATATTTAAAATAATTTCAACATGTATAATTATTATTAGAATGATCTTTAACCTTAAACCTTTTAAATTAATTTTAATTCTAACCCTAACTATAATCTTTAATTTTTAATCCCTAATTCTTAATCCTAATATAATTCTAAACTTTAATTTTAACTCTAATTTATAATTTTAACTATTTTAATACTACAGTCAACTCTTAATATAATAAACTCTTTATATAATAAATTTTTTAAATAAATATAATAAAAATACTCTTGTTTTAGTGAATTGGCTAATCAAATTTTTTAAAATTTTTACTATAATTTTATAGCGAAGTTAAGGTTTAGAACATAGAATTCATTATATAGACCTTTGTCAAAAATCTCTAAATACTTTTTGGCTCAATTATAGATGAAGGACGAAACCCTTTAATAATAGTCGAAACTTAAACAAAACTATATTAAAATCATAATAAGGGATACAATGAAACCTATTTGATATGACGAAAGCAGAAACTGTTAAAACTATATTAAAAACATAGAAAAGGATATGAAGAAATTATTTTGAGAAAGTTTCAGCAGGCATCTATAAGCTCAATGTAAAACTTAAAATTTTAAAGTTTATTAAAAAAAATTTTATTAATGTATGATATGCTACACATTTGGTACTAAATAATTAGTACTTAGTCAGGCCTTTATTTGCTTCATCACAGCCTAAATTCGTTGCGATAAATCATTTCAGCTGGCTTTACTGCAAATCTTTAATTAAGGATGATCGATTAAAATGAAGCTTTAAATTAACAGTTTCAGTATCATCTATTCTTTTTAAAGTTCTAAATGTTATTAAAAATTTACAACTGATATTTGTGATAATAACCCAGTAACTATCGTCACGTTAATGGTAAAATATATACCACTGCATTATTCTTTAAACATTTTCGTGATTTTCAAAAGGTAAATTTTATTTTGGTTAAAAATCAAAATAAACAAATCAAATACGCTTTTATTTGATTTTGATTCAAGTAAACAAGATCAAGTATATTATATAACCACAGTATTATACAATTATATGATGTATTCAGTATGAAATAACTGAAAGATGACGTTCAGAAACTTTTAGTGAGGATCTGTAATAAGAATTGATTATAATCTTTAATTCTAACCTAATATTTAATTCTTAATTCTAATTTTAACCTTTTAATTTATTATATTGACATTTTGTATTCTTTACATAAAGCAAATTTGTTACTTATAAACTAACAAAATTAACTATGTATTATTTTAAAGATTGAAAATAATTCTGATATATAATTTAAAAGCTAGTTTAAAAGTTATATTAATATAATTAAAAATTTTTTTAGATTTTTTTTGATATTCTATTATGAAAAGCAAGTAGTAAGCTAAAAGTTATTAAAAAGAGAAGTTTTAGAACCTTTCTTATGATCAGTTTTATTAATTTCTTTATTTTTAATGTTAAAATTGATAAATTTAATAATTAAAGCTGCTTACATAAAAATTGTACTTAAAATTCTCAAAATATTACTAAGATAAAGAAGGTATTTGTTATTGATCTAAAGGACATCAAAAGCAAAAAAAAAAAATAGTATTTTTTTTTTAAAAATTAAAGCATAATGGTGAAATAGAAAGAAAATTAAAATTTTTTATTTTTATTATTATAAATTCTTAATTATATAATATGATATACTGATATTATATAATCAAGATATAGAATGCTATTTAAAATAAATTATCTAGGATAATTTAAATAAAAATTCTATTATTTATATCAAAAAAATTTAAAGTTTATGTATTAATATATTAATTGATAATATGTATTTATTTAATTTGAATTATAATAACCAATTTACAAATTAATTTAAATATAAAATTTTAAATAATTAAATAATTAATATTATAATTAAATATAAAAGAAAGTAAAAATTGATATATATAAAATAAAAGTATTATAATTAAATAAATTAAATTAAATTTTATTTAATTAGAAAAAATAAGGTTTTTAAAAATATTATCAAAAAATTTTAAAGGTAGAATTATAAGTAGTTTTAATTAATTACAACTAGTAATAAATATAAAAAAAAATATAATTATATTTAATTATAATTATTTTATAAATAATATTAAAGAAATTTACTAGATTATTACTAATTATTAATAAAAATGTTAAAGATTTATATATTTAAATAACCATAATTTTACCTATAAATATAGATTTATTTTCAAATAATATAATTATAATAAATAGATTATTTAAAATAAATTTATATATTTATCAAATTAAATATAAAATACTTATTATATCTATGTTTTAGATATCTTAAAGAATTTGTATAAATTAAAGTAAATTTATGACTTTTTATTTTTTTAATAATCAAAAATTAATAATATCATAATTTAGCAACTTAGTATTTAAGTTAAATTTATTATATATTAAAAAGTATGTGAATTACACAAATAATAATGTTACCTATAAATTGCAAAATTGTATATTATGATTTACTTCAAATAAAATGTCATCAATCAGGTAATAATTAAAAATTAATAATATTCTAAAGCAAAATTTTTTCCGTTCATATAAAACCGTAATTGAAGATTGATGCGAGCTTAGCATTTGTATTTGATTAAATAAAATTGTGGCGGAACCTAGCTGTGGATCAATCCTTTTTTTGGAGGTAGATTTCCGATTCTCCACAAATTTATTTGGTTTTTTTTTTTTCCGTTATCAATGAGGATTTTTATCGGAAAATTTAGGAAGAAATATTTCTCTATCTCTAAATCTATGTTAGATAATGATCTTATGCCCCAAAATAGATTGTATAACATAGAAATGTTATTGTTAAGTTAGGCACGTGATATATATTGCATTTATTTATTTTTTTTTTTACTTATTTATGAATGATCATATGGGGTTTAGTGAATTTTTTTTTCGATGAGAGCTTATCAGGTAATAAATAATGCTTCATATGTTCTTGCTTCCGAATTATCGCTGGGTCATTCCTGTTACTTGTTCACGTGCGAATTCGTTTGAAGATATATTTCCCAACCAAAAGAAGTTCATCATTTTCGAAAATACCCCAAATTTTTTGAATTAAGTTTTTTTCCAGTAATGTATGTGTTCAGAAATACTGGATTGAAATGAGATTTATATCAGATATGTCAAGTTTAGATACAGAGAAACAACTGACTTAAATCTCGAGCATGTAAGATTTCACGATAACAGTTTTTGAGATCGAATTTAATAAGGAAAAATAAAAAAGCGAAAAAAAAAAAAAAAAAAACATAAATGCAAGGGTTTTTTTTCAACCTTTTATTCCTAATCGATTCATTAAACTTCATGTGAATGACTTGTTACGTACGTATTTACACATCTACCAATACAAATATAAGTAAATTAAAACGTAATTACTGCATTTACATATATGCGCATTATTCTCTGCCACCACGTGGTGTCAACAAAACGGCACGTTGACGCATTAAATAAAAATTACAAATTACCACTTTATAAAAAAATTTCTTACGACAACAGCGTCTTGTCAATGATATCCCCCTTGTGACTTTTCGTGATCAAGAGGGCTGTTGTTATTTTTTTTTTAACACGCAAAAATTAAATCGATTCGATTATGATAACAAGCCGGAATTGTTATCTATCACGAAACAAGAAATGAACAAAAAATCTATTTGTAAACATGGCTAAAAATTTTCATAAGAAATTGAAAGGGATGAAAAATGAACGAACGAGCAAACTTTCATGAAAATTGTGGCTTTGAGATCTGTGCATTGTTACACGCCAGTTTAAAGGAGAAGACTTTTTTACAGGCAATCGATTCATTTTTTTTTTTATTTCTTTCGCTTAAAAACTCATGTGAACTCTTTTATGCACCTAATATGAGTTTTTAACAATTGGTCACTTGACAGATATTATCAAATTTAAATATTATTCATTATCGTGTGATCTATTAGTTTAATCTGTGATATCTTCAATGCGTTCTCTATTAGATCTAAAAAAAAATTTAAACTTTAATCCTCTCAAATTGCGAGATTTTATTTCATATTGTAAAAACTTGAAATTTTCAAGTCAGCTGGACATAAGGAGAAAAAAAATTTTTTTTATTATTTATGGGTATAAATAGTAATTATAATTGCTGTAAAAAACAAAAAATTTCCTTGTGATTTTTTATTATAGTAATATATTTTAAAAAAAAGTTTTTTTTTTTTTTTTATTATGTTAATATAATATATATATTTCAACAAGCCTTATTCTATTTGGGAAATTGGAAAAAAAATTTTTTTCTGTTTATCATTTCTGATATATCGATTCCTTTCCGATATCTCACATTATTTATTTGCTAGTGTCCCCCTCAAACTTTTTTTTCCCTATTTAAAAGTTTTTTTTTTTTTTTGCTTTTTTTTATATTTATCCTCTCCTCTGTACGTGGTTACTTTTAATGACTTTTTGTCTCGGTCACCATCCTTCCTTTTATTAACGAGTCTAAAAAAAAAACGATATCGATATATTCGAGCTAAATAACTAACAAGGGACACGGAAGAAAACGAAAAAACTTTGCCCATTTATTTCAAATAACATAATGTCGGGTAGTTGTAATCAAATAACACGCGATGGAATGCAATATATACGGTGGATACATACACTTTTTGGTTTTTGTGTGTATACCAACCAAGATACATTAGTCAGTGATATCTTTGGTAGGTTATCGGACAATATCCCGGTATCGATTAGTTGACTTTTGCCAGGAATCTAACTTTTTTTTTTCGTTTCCGACATAGGATATTTATGTGTGGCATGTTGGTTGAACGCCCAATTTCCGTACGTTTCGCATTTTTTATCTTTCCATTTTATATACCGACTCAAGAAACTAACACGTTTCCTTTTTAGACAAGTCCTAACAAATTATCGAAATCGCTCAGCTGATGGGCTTAGTTTACCATTTCTCACAAATTGGCTACTAGGCGATATTGCCAATTTATTAGGATGTATACTGACAAACCAATTACGATTTCAGGTAATGCGGAATATATGATATAGCGTTTATAATTAATTTAATTTTTTTAATTAAAATTTAATTCAATTTATCTTCCTTTTAGATTGTCCTTGCCGTATATTTTTGTATAATAGATTTTATTCTATTCTGCCAATATTTTTATTATATGTGGCTTTCAACAGAAATACTCAGCGAGTCCGAAGAGGTTCCATTACCGGATAGACGATTATCCATGCAATCATTAAAGGATTCTATATTGGAAGGTGCAAAAAAGAGCTACACGTTTCCCGCAAGGAAGAAACAATCTTATAAACGAATGTAAGAACTTCTATTAAATGTACATATTCTTGATCACGTGAATTTTGATTGATTTTTTTTTTTAAAAAAAAATTTTAGACCGTCGGTGGTGTTTGCTGTTCTTCTCTTCACATTTAATTCCACCTCTTCTATATCATCTTCCTTTTCCTCTTCACGTTTTCCAACTATACATGACGAAATCGGATCTCAAGAAATGCCATTGCATGGAAATGCAAAATTACTATCTGAGCATAATGTAATTTTCTTAGGGAGAGTTATGGCTTGGACATGCACTTTATTTTATTTGACCAGCCGAATGCCACAAATATGGAAAAATGTACATTCAAATTTTTTTTTAGAAATAATTTGTTGCTTTTTTTTTTGATTATAATTCAACTTTTTTTTTAATGAAATCTTTATAGTACACGAGATCATCGGTTGAAGGACTATCAGTTTTTATGTTTATATTTGCGGCCCTTGCCAATTTGAATTATACTTTATCCATCTTAACCAACCCGTTGTCAGGGTCAGAAGCATATATACGTGATGCATTTCCTTTTATATTAGGATCTGTTGGAACGTTAATGTTTGACGTCACAATATTCTTACAATGGTGTATTTGGCGTAATGCGGAACCACGAAAGAAACGTCGGAGTATTTATTCCGGCAATTATGGTAGTGATGCCATAAGGTATCACCAATTACCAACGGATGATGGAAGTTTTAGAAGTGGAAGGTACAATCGAAGAAGCGAAATCAATGAAAATTTTGTTTAAATAAATGTTTTCAATGTAATATGTAATATTTTTTTTTTTATGGAATATCTATGATAGAAGATTATAATTTTATTTTATTTTATTTTCCCATTCTTTTATTATATTCATCCGAGCACCCTTTTTTGTTCGTTTACATATATGGTGGCCGAGTTTTTTGATATTTTCTTTTACAGTACAAACTATTAATGAACAAATGAACGAAATTCAAAAGAGGAGAGGATTCAAAAAATTTTCTTAAAGAAAAAAAGTAAAGAATTCCGTTCAGAACGAAAAGTTCATCAAAACCACCAAAGTAACCCCCAATTTTTTTTCCTGTATTCATTATTAATTTTCCACATGTAATATTTTTTACATTACCATTTTAGCATAGCATTCGTGAATAGTATTAGTTTTTTAAAAAGACTTTATTCATGAACGACGACAATTATTCCACACTATCCCGAAACAATTTGTTTTTTTTTTTTTTTTTTCTTTTTACAAAAAGGCACCTTATAGTTCTTTTTTATATATAGTTTTTTCCCCTTGGTATGTATATTTTTGTATTACTTTTTTATAAGATAGAAAACCAATGAATTACACATTTTATCAACATTTATCATTAAATTCTTTAATAATAACTCTTTTTTTTTTTTTTTTCCTTTTAGTTTTATTGGTCACGAGACAACAACTATTAATGGATTTTTCTTTTTTTTTTTTAAAAAAAATAAAAATAAAAAAAAATAAAGTAAAAAGTAAAATGATTATTTTTTTTAAAAAAAAATTTTTTTTTTTTGTCATTAATAATATTAATTTATTAAACGAGAAAATATTTTTATTTTTATTTTTTAAACCAAAAATACACATTTTTTTACGTTACTTAATTTAATTAATATATTAACAATTTAGTAATTTAATCTCAAATAAAAAAGTTGATTCATTCAAACAAATTTTTTTTTTTCAATCTTCATAATGGAGATATGGTAAATAAAATAAGGTCAATATGCAATTCTTACCATATAAGAAAACGGAAAAAGTTTTTTAATTTTCCCCGCAGTTACATTTTTGTTTTCATTATTTTCATTAGGAAGATTTTTTACCATTTTGCGTGTTTTTGTCAATATAATGCGACCATCAAACTAGGAATATATGCTGAAAAATGTTTTGTAAGTGATCTTTTTATATTTTTATAACCAAAAAAAAATCGCCTAATTGGATTTTTTTAAAGAGAAATTTTTTTTTTTTTTTAACCAAATTGATTAATAAGGCGTCCAATTTTGGAAATTATTACTTTTAATAAATAAAGTATAGTATTATATATTAAATTAATTAAAACATATATAATTATATAGTAAAACTTTTACTATAACTATAAACCTATATAAATAAATATCATTTTTATAATATTGAAAATATAACTATATATATTTATAATTTTTTTTATTATAAAATTGTTTAAATAAATATATTATTTTTAAAATAAACTTATATATATTTATAAAGTAGAATTATTTTATATACTTAAATAATTTTATAAATTTTATAGTAATATTAAACAAATAAACAGTTTTAATATTTAAGATAGAGGTTTTTAAAATCAAAAAAAAAATGTATTTAAAATTTCAATATTATTTTATATAAATTTATATAATTTTATACATAAATTATATAGATAAATATTAATTAATTTTATAATTACTAATAAAAACTTTAAATTAATTAAATAAGAAAATTTCTTAATAAATACAAGGTGTACGAACATGAGTTATATGATATATATAAACTTATTATACAAAGTTACATCTAGTTTAAATTAGTTTAGTGTTAATATATAATTATATTGCTATTTATTATATAGTATCACATTTTACTACAGAGGGTGAACAAAAGTATTTGCATACTTTTTCACTCAATATAAAACTTATAATTTTTTTGCATTAATAATAAACGGTCAATTAATATTTTATTTAAAGCTGATTAAAGTCTACATTTTTACTAAGTAACTAGTATTTAGTTATGCTACTATTTGTCGCAATCACAGCTTGAATTCGTTGCAGCATACTATCAACTAGGTTTCGATAGTATGCTTCAGAATTTCTTGCCAAGCCTTTTTAATATATCAGTCAAATTAGATAGAGGTTTTTTATAAGTTCAGATGCTTTTCTTGACTTCAGCCCAAAGATTCTCAATTGGATTAAGATCTGGACTTTGAGCTGACCAAGATAATGTATAAGATTATTTTTCGCTTGAAAAATCATTGCAGTAATTCTTTAGTTTTTACCTTTTTTTTAGATTTTTGGAGAAGAAAAATTTATTAAAAAAAAATAAACTGTTATCCTTTTTATTTTTATAATATAAATAAATACTTAAGTGTTATGTAAACGCAATTTATTATTGCAGTTATATGACTTTACTAGCATTAATTCACATTATAGAGGATGTGCAGATACTTTTGTTCACCTTCTGTATATTTTATTTTTAGTAATTAATTTAAAAACTTAGAAAATTTTTTATATTAAAAATACTGTTATTGCCTTCTTTATATTTCACATTATGTTTAGATATCTTGTATACAATTAGAAATTACTCTTAAATAAATAAATATTTTTTTTTATTTTTATTTTTACTGATTTATAATTTTTAATAATTTTATTTATTAAATTATTAAAAATTATAATATTTAAGTAAAATATTTATAATATTATTTTTTTATTAATTTTTTTTTATATATATAAATTTTTTAAACTATTATTTTTTTATTATAATATTTTAAAAATTTAGGCATTAATTTTATTAAAAAATCTAATGAAAATTCTATGTTTAAAAATTTTTATTATATTCTTTTTTAAATAATTTTATTTTAATAATATTTTATTATATTAAAATATTAATTTTATATTAAAGTATAAATAAAAATTTAAATATTATTAATATTATTAATTAATTTTAAATTTAAAAAAGATAAATATCTTATATAATTTTTTTTAATTATTTTATTATAATAATAATAAAAGTAAATTATTATTAAATAAAAAATTAAATTGATTTATACTATTATTATAATATATAAAATAAATTATAATATGAAATAAATGATTTTTAAAAAGTATTTAAATTAATAATTTTTTTAATATTATATATTTTTTATTTAACATAAATCTTTTATAATTTATATATTATAGTTTTTTAAATTAAAATTTTATATTTATTATAAAAAGTAAATTTATTTATTACAAAAAATAGTATTTCTTATATATCACTTTTATTACACTATTTGAAAATAAGTTTATGCAATTAGTATTTTAGATTTTTATTTAAAATCATATAATATAAGAATAAATTTATTTTGTTACTAATAAAAAATCTTACTTCTTGTTTACATAATTATTTGTTGTTATTGCATATATAAAATAAAAATAATTTGAAATCATAAATAAATATTATAGTACTAATATCTATTTAACAATTTATTCATAACATAATAGATAAAAATCTTAAGCTTTCTGTTATTAAACGAGTATAAATAATTAAACTATATAAAAGAGGTTATAAAAAGTCTATTATTATTAAAATTATGAATTATTAGTTAGAATAACAATTTTAAAATATCTATTGACACTGTAATATAATTACAAAACTTAATAATATCTATTAATACTAAAATGTGATTACCTTTAATATATGTATAAATTTTACATTATCTTTATATTCTATAATAAATCTTTGAATACATCTTGAAAAAGTTAATTGATAATATTTTCAAATGATATATTAAGTAAAAAAAAAAATAGTCAACCTTTATTATTTAATGATAAAGATTGCAAAATTTTAAAGAAGATTATTAATAAAAATAATAAAACTTCTGCTAATATGATATAAAAGAAATTTTTAATAACAACTAGCTAAAATATTTATACTAAACCAATTTGAAAAAATTTGTATCAAATCAATATAACTTCTACTGAACTGTAAAAAAGCATTTATAAATAAAAATTAATGTTAGAATAAAGATTAAAAAGATAAAATTAGATAGTACAATAATAGAGAAATATCATGGAATAATAAATCAAAATTTACTCTTTTTATAATGATGATCTTTCTCAGATTTAGTATAAATTAAGCATTTATTTTAATATTAAAAATCTGAATCTATCTATTAAATATAATAGTAGAGGAGTCATTATTTGAGAATATTTTTTAGGCAAAAGATTAAATCTTTTAATAAAATAATCAATCTCATAATTATATAAAAATTTTAGATGATAACTTATTACTATTTATTAGTTTAAACTTTTATAACATATTTTATAAATTTTAATATAATAATGCACTTATTTATATAATCAATAATATTAAAGCACGAGTTGCTAAAAAAATTAAAATATTAATTAATTAGCCTATTTAATCTTTAGATTTGAATTCTATTAAGCATATTTAGAATCATCTTAAATATTTATTATATAATCGTTTAGATCTTTCTAAAAATTTTAGAAATTTAAAAATATAATTAAAGGAAGAATAAAAGAAATTTTACAAGAAATTTATCTAAAATTAATTAAAAGTATGCTTTAAAGAATAGAAACATGTATTTCTAATAATGGTTAGCTAACCAGATACTAAAATTTTATTAGAAAAAATGATAATAAACTACTTTTTTAAAAACTACATAAACTTATTTCTAGATAGTGTATATTCTTTATTTTAATTTTAATCTAACTCTAAATCATATAACACTAACTAAAATGATAAATAGGAATTTACATATAAAAAAATTTCTAAATTCTCAAACTAATTAGTAAAATAAAAAACAGAGAAGTATGATATATTGTAATAAATAGCAAAGAATAATATTGTATATGAAATATATAAATTTTCTTTATTATATATATTAATTTTGTAAAATTAAAGATATTTTGATTAAATAATATTAATAATATATATATTAACCTACATTAAATTACAGAATTTATAATTATATAATTATCGCATTTGTAATAAATTTGTAATTTCTCCCTATAATACAT